TGCAAAATGCAAAGCTTTCAAATGAGCTTGTTTCAAATGGCATGACACAAAATGCAAAGCTTTCAAATGAGTTTGCTTCAAATGGCATGACACAGAATGCAAAGCTTTCAAATGAGCTTGCTTCAAATGGCATGATGCAAAATGCAAAGCTTTCAAATGAGCTTGCTTCAAATGGCATGACACAAAATGCAAAGCTTTCAAATGAGTTTGCTTCAAATGGCATGACACAGAATGCAAAGCTTTCAAATGAGTTTGTTTCAAATGGCATGACACAGAATGCAAAGCTTTCAAATGAGCTTGCTTCAAATGGCATGATGCAAAATGCAAAGCTGTCAAATGTGCTTGCTTCAAATGGCATGATGCAAAATGCAAAGCTTTCAAATGAGCTTGTTTCAAATGGCATGACACAGAATGCAAAGCTTTCAAATGTGCTTGCTTCAAATGGCATGATGCAAAATGCAAAGCTTTCAAATGAGCTTGCTTCAAATGGTATGATGCAGAATGCAAAGCTGTCAACAAATGAGCTTGCTTCAAATGGCATGATGCAAAATGCAAAGCTTTCAAATGAGCTTGCTTCAAATGGCACAACACAGAATGCTAAGCTGTCAAATGAGCTTAATTCAAATGGTATGATGCAGAATGCAAAGCTTTCAAATGAGCTTGCTTCAAATGGCACAACACAGAATGCTAAGCTGTCAAATGAGCTTGCTTCAAATGGCATGATGCAAAATGCAAAGCTTTCAAATGAGCTTGCTTCAAATGGTATGATGCAGAATGCAAAGCTGTCAAATGAGCTTGCTTCAAATGGCATGACACAGACTGCAAAGCTTTCAAATGTGCTTGCCTCAAATGGCATGATGCAAAATGCAAAGCTTTCAAATGAGTTTGCTTCAAATGGTATGATGCAGAATGCAAAGCTGTCAAATGAGCTTGCTTCAAATGGCATGACGCAACCAGCATGTTTATTCACCCACAACCAGCCAATAGACTGCCAAGCATTTCCAGACCGTTGATAGAGGCACTGCGGCATAACATACTATTAAATGGGATATTCTTAATTTCAACAGAAATACAATGCCATAACCTGTAACAGTCAAGTGACCTCCAACTTTCTTCGTTTTCATCTTAATTACCCAAAACATTGAAAGCATAAAGAAGTTGGCATATAATCTTTTTGTATTTAATGTTTGTCAGAAAGTGTAATACACTTACCCTGGTAGATCAAAGGAAGCAGATACACCTAATTCAGAATCACAAATATTGTCCCTTCCACATTCCTTTACAAAGTCAACCTGTGTGATAAAAAAACACATTACTGAGCTGGCTCTTATATTTTGCATTTTGCACAAGATACTTTAGACCCATCGATTATACATTTTACTTTCACTACTTCACTAGGTTTTAATTTCTCAATTACTGATGATAAAATTAATAAGAACATGTTAATTTCAATAGATTTATCAAGCTATTCACTTTTTCACAATTGAACATTAAAATACGATTGCACATCTGATATTGTGCAGTTTTTTGTATCGTATAAATTTTGCACAGTGTTTTTGACTTGCAATATAATATAATATAATAATAATGTTTATTTATGTTTATTTGCAATCTAATATAAAATGCCACAGTAATTTTTTTAATCAAAATCATGCATTGAAGACACTTTTTGACTCAATATTCACTAGAAACTGGGAAACGGTATCATGTTGCTTGTCAGAGTTTTGATAAGCTGCTGCCATTCTATTAGCTAGAATGTTGCTTGAATAATGTCTGCAGAACTCAGTGGAATGAAAAATTGTACATCATTGTATGTATACTGTCATAAAGAGATTCAAACAACACCATACATACCTTAATAGAATTGGTGATTGGCATGTTCATATTCATAACAGGCTGACCAGATAATGATGGAAGACCAGGTCCAGGTGGAGGTAATGCAGGATCCTCTTCTACTATGTTATACGACAATTCTAGGTCAATTGGCCGTAAGATATCACGTATATCATTCTGAAACCAATAATAATAATCAAGTCATCCTAGTCTACTCACTTTCCCAAGTTGGCATAGATTGACAGACAAAAACAATATTAGTACCATCAACAGTGATAACATAATTTCTTCTACCGGTGTGTACATTTGGGTATCACATTGTTTTATTGTATTGTTTTTTAAAACAGTGCTCAATTTGAGGGGACCCCCCCCCCCCCAAATTCAATTGTAAATGCCTTTCTAGACAACTACAGGTGTCCTTAGGAGGGACATATACAATTAAATTAGGGAGTACTGGAGGGTAGGGGTTGGGTTGGGTTAGGGTTTTGAGTGCAAAATGAACTCTTGATATAAACAAAACACTGCATGTTAACAAACTACATTAGCCAAAGATGAGATTTCATGGATGGTTAGATACAAGGTAAAGTACAAATCCTTGAATACACTCACCGTGACATATAATGTCAGTTGGTCACATTTCTGTTGGCCTCTTCTACGAAGCCTCATACTGTCTTGATATTCATGAGAGCTGGAGTCTTTAAAAAATACACGCGACTGCAGACCTATATCTCTCCTTGCCTGTTCAGCTTCTATGTAGTATTCAACATCTAAAATAAAATAAATTAAGGTATTTTCAAAGGGAAGGTCAAGCTCAATTTGTTTACTATGACAACACTATGTAGGTAAACCTGTGTTAGAGACCTACTCTATATAAAGACCATTTTAGGCAGTTCAAAAGCATAAATTAACCTAGTATGTAACCACTTTTTTTTCTGATTTGCCACTGTTGAGATCAAAAGAATAATTAGCGTTGGGATCAAAAGAATAATTAGCATTCAATTTAAAAACAATATTAAATTTCTTCAAGTCAAACTCGATTGATTTTGAATTCACATAGAATTTTGTGTTTCTGTTTAATATGACAGATCAAGCACGTAAGTTACATTTATTTGTTTTGTCGTTTCACATCATTAAGTTGTTTACAGTGAGCTGTTAGTAAACATATGCAAAGTTGTGACTGATACTAGGTACTAGAAATGAACAAAGTATGCACAGTGGGTACAAAAATACATATTTGACTGATTTGGATAACTACATACATTTTCAACATGTGTTGTGTATTTTGTTTTGCATTTTGGGTTAAAAAACAATTTCATGGCTTTATTCAGTATCATTCTTGTATTACCGTTAAATCTGTATTAGAAGCCACACCCATTTTTTTTTGGAACAAATGAGAACCAAAAACCACAATTTCTCATATGTTGTAGATTCTCTAATAGAGCTGCATTCCCTCTGGTGCATTGTACCATTTTAATAGAAGCTACAGCTTCTAATACAGATTTTTCAGTTATACCATTTTTTGTGTTAAATCTGCTATTCATTTTGAGTGATGGCAAATTTGTTATTTATTATAAAACTAGACCAATAACATGGCAGATGATGTTGCAAATACAAGTGGTTGATAGCTTGACACTGGTACAATAAAGCACCCTCATACATCATGACTGCAGTTTTACGACTCTAGTTCATAAGATGCTATACACAGCTGTGTGATTTATAATCATAAACCAAGTACAAATATAATCATGCAAGTTTGCATAGTTGCATAGTTTACCATCCATTTCGGCTATCAAGGAGGCTTACAGCAGACAATGCGTTAAAGCGCAACAGTCACAATTCCATGCTTTATTGTGTTCAACACAAGTTCCATATGGGATGTATACAACATGAGTGAAAACATTGTTTACACACACTTTATCACATACTAATTTCTGAACTACCGTTTCAAAATGAATCAATTGGAAATACACAACATACATGTAGGTAGGGCACCTTAAAGACAAAATGTGGTGAAATAAAAATATTTATTTAAATATATGATTATGCACCATTTGATGCAACAATCTTGTAATGCTCAAAGTTTAGAGTTACTTACCTATCGCATCATTAAAACCGGAGTCAGAAGTATAATTTAAACAAACTTTAACTGTGAAACTGAAACCAGAAAACAAAATGTTAATAACACAACTGCTTTGTAGTCTATGGCCAGGTAATTAGAATATACAACCAAACCACATCACTCATTAGACAGTGGCCAGGTAACCAGGATATCAAACCACCAAATCACACTTCTACTCATTGGCCTGTGGCAAGGTAACCAGGATATATGATGTAACAACTTTAAAATGGCCCAGAGCTAAGTAAACTGGAACTCTTCCTTCAAGAGTTCAAAATCATAGACTTGAGAAAAGATATCAAAGTCAAATTACAGATTCTTGAGAAGATATCTTGGTCTAAGGTCAAATTCTAGACCAGGAGAAGATATCCAGATCTTACATCAAATTATAGACCCTGGAGAAGATATCCAGATCTTGCATCAAATTATAGACCCTGGAGAATATATCCAGATCTAAGGTCAAATCACAGACCTTGGAGAATATATTCAGATCTAAAGTCAAATCATAGACAAT